CGGGCGCTCGCCAGCGCCGCGACAGACAAATGATTCGCCGCCAAAGCGCTTCGGCACGCAAACACGGACGCACTGGTGGCCACCAAGTCCGCCAACGTTACCAGCGGACCCCGTCGTTCGGGTTGTCTTGATCGCGACCCTCGTCGCGGAGGATATACGAACAGTGTCCAAAATGAGCAAGTTCTGGGGCAAGTGCAGGTAGAGAGACGCAAGTTGTCCTTCTGACGACGTCCGCACACGCATTGCTTTTGATCCGATTTCTGCTGCGCATGGATACGCGTCGTCCTCGTCACGCTTATTTTCGCCACCCGCCTCGGGAGCCCAGGAGAAGCAAACGAGGTGGGTTGTTACGACAGCAGGATTAGTGATACCTGTGCCCGCATATGTATGCTCCACGATCACCACATCCTGGCCCGGAGGGCCAGCGAGAGGATTTCAATGAGTTTAGCATTTGATCGGTCCGTCACCGAACAAGTCTTGAATCATTTTTTGCGGCATGCACGATGGGTCGTGAGTAAGGTTTACGGAGCAAGGAGGAGGATGGAGCCAAGAGCGGCGGGTGAAGAGTGAGGTCGCAGGACACGATTCACAGCGCGTTGTGGAGAACCCACCTGTTGAGACTGATGGTGGAGAGGATGTGCCATGCGCTTGCGCCCACAGAGACGGTACCTGGAGCTCGCGAGGAGGCGCGAAACGCGTCAGGGGCATGCTGAAATGGGGCCCGCGCTGCCACGCGGTCGCCCACACCGAGATGGGCGCGGCCCCGCCATGCGGTTGTGCCCGCTGGCCCTGACGTGGACCTTACTGAAGGGCACGAAACGCGTACGGGATGTGCTGATACGGAGGCGGGGCCGCCAGGCGATCCCGCCCACATGAGCACTGGGCGGAGCAGTCCTACGGTCCACGCAGCGCCTGAGGGGCTCGTCGAAGCAGGAGCGGCGCCGCGGTGCGGTCGCCCCCACCGAGACCGCAGGTTGGAGCACTTCGAGGGGCGCGAAGCGCGTGAGTGGCGTGCCGGGATGATGGGGCAAGCGACACCATGCGGTCGCACCCACAGGGCAAGCAATTGAAGCACCTTATGAGCCACGAAACGTGTGAGGTGTGTGTGTGTGTTTGTGTATGCGTGTGTGCGTGTGTGTCTATGTTTTTGTGCTTGTTTTTTTTTTGTGTGTGTGTGTGTCTGTGCGTGTTTGTGTGTGTGTGTGTTTGTGTGTGCGTGTGTTTGTGAGTGTGATTGTGTGCTTTGTGTGTGCGTGTGTTTGTGTATTTGTGTGTTTGTGCGATTGTGTGTTTGTCTGTGTCTAGTTGCGTGTTTGTGTGTTTGTGTGTTCGTGTGTTCGTGTGGTTGCGTGTTTGTTTGTTTGTGTGTTCGTGTGTTTCTGCGTGAATGTTTGTGTGGCTGTGTGGTTGGGTGGTTTTGCGGTTGTGTCTGTGCGTGTGTTTGTGTTGTTGTGTGTTGTGTTTGTGTGTCTGTGTGACTGTGTGTGTGTTTGTGTATGTTTGTGTTTGTGTTTGTGTGTGGGCTTGTGTGTTTGTGGGTTTGTGGGTTTGTGTTTTTGTGTGTGTGTTTGTGTGTTTGTGTGTTTGAGTGTTAGTGTGGGTGCGTGTGTGCGGTGGCGTGTGTGGGAGTGTAGGTGTGCGTGTATGCGTGTGCGTGTGTGTGCGTGTGTGTGTGTGTGTGTGCGTGCGTGTGTTGTTGTGTTGGTGTGTTTTTGTGTTTGTGTTTTTGCGTGTGCTTGTGTGTGTTTGTGTGTGTGTTTGTGTGTGTGCGTGTTTGCGTGTTTGTGTGTGTGTGTGTTTGTGTGGTTGTGTGGTTGTGTGTTCGTGTGCTTGTTTGTGTTTTTGCGTGTGCTTGTGTGTGGTTGTGTGTGTTTGTGTGTGTTGTTGTGTCTGTGTGCCTATGTGTGTGTTTGTGTTTGTGTGTGTGTTTGTGAGTGTTTGTGAGTGTTTGTGTGTGGGTTTGTGTGTTTCTGTGTGGTTGTGTGTTTGTATGGTTGAGTGGTTGGGTGTGCGCGTGTGTGCGGTGGCGTGTGTGGGAGTGTAGGTGAGCGTGTGTGCGTGTGCGTGTGTGGGTGTGCGTGTGTGTGTGCGTGTGTTGGTGTGTTGGTGTGGTTGCGTGGTTGTGTGTGATTGTGTCGTCGTGTTTGTGTGCGTTTGCGTGTTGGTTTCGTCGTGTGTGTATGTGTTTGTGTGTGCGTGTGTTTGTGTGGACGTGTGTGTTCTGTGTGTTTGTGTGTATGGTTTTATGTTTGTGATTTTTGTGTGTGATTGTCTGATTGTGTGTGTGTGTTTGTGTGTTCGTCTGTGCCTGTGTTTGTGTGTTTGTGTGTTAGTGTGTGCTTGTGATGTAAATGTGGGTATGGGCGTGTGTGGCGTGCGGGCGTATGTGCTTGTGGGTTTGCGTGCGTGTGTCTGTGGGCTTGTGTGGGTGTGTGTGTGGGTGTGTTTGTGTGTGAGAGCGCATGTGCGTGTGCGTGCGTGTGTGCGTGAATGCGTGTGGGCGTGTGTGCATGCGTGCGTGTGTGCGTGTGTGCGTGCGTGTGTGCGTGTGTGCGTGCGCGCGTGTGCGCGCGTGTGCGCGTGTGTGTGTGTGTGCGTTTGTACGTGTCTGCGGGCCTGCGTGTGTGCGTGTGTGCGTGTGTGCGTGTGCGTGTGTGCGTGTGTGTGTGTGTGTGTTTGTGCGTGTGTCATGTGCGTGTGAGTGTGCGTGTGAGTGTGCGTGTGCGTGGTTGCGGGTGCGTGTGTGCGTGTCCGTGTGTGGGTGTGCGCGTGCGCGTGTGCGCGTTTGCGCGTGTGTGCATAAGCGCGTCTGTGCGTGTGAGCGTGAGCGCGTGTGCGCGTCTGCGTGTGCGCGTGTGCTTGTGTGTGCGTGTGTGTGTATGTCTACGTGTGGGTGTGTGCGTGTGCGTGAATATGTGTGCGTGTGCGTGTGCGCGAGTGCGAGTGCGAGTGAGAGTGCGTGTTGGAGTGCGAGTGCGCGTGCTTGTGCGTGTGCGCATGCGCGTGCGCGTGCGCGTGCGTGTGGGTGTGCGCGTGCGTGTGCGTGTGTGTTTTCGTGTGCGCGTGCTTGTGCGAGTGTGTGCGTGTGCGCGTGTGCGTGTGAGGGTGCGTGTGCGCGTGCGTGTTGGTGTACTACGTGTGCGAGTGCGTGCGTGTGCGCGTGTGCGCGTGTGCGTGTGCGTGTGCGCGTGTGCGCGTGTGCTCGGGTGCACATGTGCGCTTGTGCGCGTGTGCGCGTGTGCGCGTGTGTGCGTTTGCGTTTGTGCGCGTGTGCGGTCGCGTGCGTGTGTGTGTGTGCTCGTTTGTGCGTGTGTGTGCGTGTGTGCGTGTCTGCGTGTGTGCGTGTGTGCTCGTGCGCGTGTGTGTGTGTGTGCGCATTTGCGTGTGCGTGTGCGTGTGCATGGTCGCGTGCGTGTGCGTGTGCGTGTTCGAGTTCGTGTGCGTGTGTGTTTGCGTGTGCCGAGGCAGCCACGGGAAGAGCAGATGAAGGAGGGAGGGGGAGGAGGTGAGGAGAAGGTCGAGGATCGAACTCACACAGGATGGTCAGGAACAAACAAAGTTGCCCTGGCGAAGGGCCCAACCACATGCAGCTGCGAGTGCCGCGCGGCAAGTGAGAAAAAGGAGGGGGGCGAGCAACGTGACGGATTGGCGAGCATGTCCTGGCGGGGAGGCGCCATGCGAACACCGCCGCTAGGGCATGTGGTGAGCTCTCTATGGGCCCACGAGACGCGTGAACGGTGTGCCACATTGCTGGGGGGGCACGGCATGCCGACCCTAGCGCCGGAGCCCCCAGTGGAGGCCCCCCTTGGGGCCACCAAGCGCGTGAGGGGTGTGCCGGGCTGGGGGCGGGTATGCCGTGCGAGCCTTGCTGCTGGGGCGTTCGGTGGGGCCCCCTGTGGGGCCTCGAAGCGTGTGAGGAATGCACGGCGCCGCCATCCGGACCCTGGCATTGCGGCCTCAGCTAGCTCCCTATGGGGCCACGAAGCGCGTGAGGTGGAAGGAATGACGCGGGACGCTGTCTCGTCAAAACAAGGATCCAACACCGCCAAATGGTCTGCAAAAATATGTGGATGGGTGCGGCGCCCTCCCTGCGGACCTTGCCGATGGGGCGGTCGGTGGGGCTCCCTGTGGCGCCACGGAGCGTGTGACGGGTGTGCCAGCATGGGTGCGGCGCCGCCATGCGGACGTTGCCCATAGGGCAATCGGTGGAGCTCCTTATGGGGCCATGAGCCGCGTGAGGTGCGTGCGGAAACATGTGTGGCGCCGCCATGCGGACCTCACCGATGGGACCTTTGGGGGAGCCCCCGTGTGGGGCCACGAAGCGTGTGAGGGGTGAGCCGAAATGAGGCGGTGCCGCCATGCGGACCCTGGCATTTGGGTTTTGGTTTTGGCGAGGGGTGCGCCGAAATGAGGAGGCGCTGCCGTGCGAACACTGGCAGTTGGGCCTCAGCTGGGGCTCTCTGTGGGGAGGGAAGAGCGGGAGGAGGAAGGCCAACGGAGGAAGTGGCGCAGGGTGTTGTCTCATCAAGACGAAGACCCAACACCACCGGTCGTTGAGAGTAGGTATTTCTGGATTCCCGGATCCCAATCTACTTTAGCCGACTTCCTATTTCAAGAGTCGAGCGGTTTTCCCTTCTCCCTCCTCTTTTTTTGGGACGGCGGAAGCCCAATCGACTTCCAACGCCTTCCTACTTCACGTTTCCACACACACACACACACTTTGCGTCGGCGGCTGGGCAGAGGTCACTGCTCTGGCGATCGGGCATCAGTGGGGCGCGCTAGGTGCCAATTGGGCCGCAATGCACGGGGGAGAGGAAAAGACCCTGGCGCAGGCGGGAAGAGAGGAAGCCGGGCCCGCTCAGGCGAGTCCCGGCCGCGGCGGGGCGGGCGCCGGGGGGGGGAGCCAGCCGCGGCGCCGGGCAGCAGCTGGGGGGGCATGTTTCCACACACGCACACACACACGCTTCTTCCGACCGACGCGTACTCTCCCCCCGCGCCAGCTGGGCCAAGCCCATGCCCAAGTGCGTGAGCTCCGTGAGCGCCACGGTGCACCGGCTGGAGCGTAGCTACGGGCGGCCGCAGGCCCCCGCGGGCGGTGGGAGGGGCACGCCTGTCGGGCAGGCGCCCGCGCCGTCCAGTGGCACGACCGATAGCGCGGGGGCGAGTTTGACCATCCCCGGATAGCTCGTAGAGAGCTAAATGGTTGTGAGATTAGAAGCCGGCGCCGCAGGGTAGCCCTGGAGCTCGTTCCAGCTTCCGGCAGAACACCTCGCGGCAGGCTGTGTGACCGGCAGCGTGTTCCGGCAGGCATTTCTCGAATTGTTTCCCAAGACGTGTGGTGCCAAGCGTTTCAGACAGAAACCCCCTCGGAAGCTCACTCCAAGAGCGTCCAGAGCTCCTTCGAGAGGTGTTAGAAGGCCTTCTGGGCGCCCTTCGATACAGGTTCGGGGCACCACGAGTGGAGAGCAGTTCGAGGCTCTTCGAGGTTTGGAGGGATTCTGTTAGTCCCTTCAGGGCCTCCGAGAGGCCTCTCAATTAGTCACGCCCCTCCGAGAGCCCCAAAAATCACCGCTTGGGGCCTCTGGGGGCGCTCTTGGGGCCGTGTTGGGCCCGTCTTGGAGCTCTCTCGGGTCATCCTCGGGCCTCAAGGCCCATCGGAAGCGAAAAGGCGAGAAGGCCAACATCGAATTAAAGCATCACCCCAGACGTACTCAACATCTTCCCAACGCGAGGCGAATGTTTGTGTATGCACGATCTGCGCTGCCCTCGTCTGCGCAGGGACCCCTGGGAGCCCACGAAAGTGGTGACAGTTGCGCAGCTCGCCCCGAGAGAGCCGCGAGGTCTCAAATGGATCTGCGCTGCCCCCACCTCCGCCGCGCCTCCCATGAGCACACGAAAGTGGCGACAGGTGTGAATTTCGCAGCCCCCGAGGGAGCCTCGAGATGTCAAATGGATCTGCGCTGCCCTCACCTCATCCCCGCCTCCCAGGAGCCTGCGAAAGTGTCGACAGTGCGCTGCCCTCACCTCTGCCGTGCCTCCCAAGGGCCCACGGATGTGGCGACCATTGCGCAGTTCGCAGCCACCCAGGGAGCAGCGAGATCTCAAATGGGTGCGCGTGGCCCCGACTCTGCTGGACCGCCCAGGAGCACAAGAATGTGGCGACACGTGTGCAATTCGCAGTCTCCCAGGGAGCAGCGCGGTCCCAAATGTGTCCGCGTGGACCCCGACTCCGCTGGACCTCGCGGAGGCCCACGAAGTGGCGACAACCGCAGCCTCCCAGGGAGCAGCGAGGTCCCAATTGGGTCCGCGTGGCCCCCGACTCCGCCCATGAAAGTGGCAACAGTTGCGCAGTGCACAGCCTCCCAGGGAGCAGCGCAGGAGGAGGCAGGAGGCAGGGGAAGGAGGAGGAGGAGGAGGAGGAGGAGGAGGAGGAGGAAGAGGGGGAGGAGGAGGAGGAGGAAGAGGGGGAGGAGGGGGTAGGGAAGGCGTGCGAGCCGTGCCCCGTTCAAAACGAGAAGTGTTGGATGGGTTTGGGACCATCGGGGCCGGCATTGGGGAGGCCGAGTGGGCACTTCAGGCCGTCTTGGGGTTGTCCTGGGGCCTCGTGGAAACATCTTGCTTGGACGCCATGTGGAGCCTCATTGGGATACGTTGCGTCACGTTGGAGGCCTTCTTGAGCAATATGGATGCAGCCATGCTGGCACAAAAGCCTCCCAAAGACGCCCCCGAGATGCCAAAATGTTATGAGAACCCATGGCTGATCAATCACAGTGGTGTTGAGTCAAGGGTGGGTACTCAATTAGGGTAGCCCCTGGTGAGCCCGGAAAGTCGTTTCTTGGGACCCTCTTGGGGCGCGCTTGGGGTGTTCTTGGGCGCTGTTGGGGCCGTCTTGGAGCCCTCTTTGGACTCTCTTAGGTTAGAGCCGTCTTGCGGCTTGAAGCCCATCGGAAGCGCAAAGGCGAAAAGGCCAAGATCTTGAGAGTTTACTTGTGACTTGTGAGGTTTTGGAAGAAGTTCGGCTTCTAGGGGGATCCTGGGGTGCTTTCGGGAGCCATCTTGGTCGCTCTGACCCCTCGCGGCCCCCACCGTCCAAGCCCCGGGAGAGGGTGGAGCGAAAGGGTGGGGTCGCCGCTCTCGGGCTCCGGGGGACCTTCCGGGGCCCGGGGGCCGTCAAGAAGGCGGCTCGGGACGAGAGGTGTGTCCCGGGCCAGCCCCCGGGCCCCCTTGGGGTCTCCAGGACCCGTTTCCCTCGGGACCCCTTTGCCTCATGCCGACGGGCGACGGGTTGGCGTCCTCCCTGTGAACAGCTGCGGGCCGGCGCGCCCTCGGATGTCGGGTGTTGTCGTTGGCGGGCGCCTCTCGACACGAGGTGCTGCTGCAGGGAAGTCGCGCGTGAAGGCGGGTGGCCCGACAGTGGTCGAGCCAGGAGCGATCGGGAAGCGTGGGCCCGGAGGCCCCCCTGCATGCTTGAATGTGCAGTATTTCACTGGCAGTTGCCCTCAGCGGTGGTGTGAATGGTTGATGTGATGGGCCTGTTTTCCACCACCACCACCATAAGTTGGAGAGGGAGGGGGTCCGTAAGGTGCAGGGTTCGGTACCGTTTCACTTCCGCCCCTGCGGGACAGTATGTATGTGTACACGTGCATTGTAGTGCGTATATACTAAATGTATGTGTACGTAGCACCCCGCAATTGCGGATAAGAGTGAGGGGGCGGGCGCGGGCGACGCGGGCGTCGTCGAGCCGGCGGACCTCGTGGCCCCCACCTTCCTTGTCGATGGCGCTCGCCTCCTCCTCCTCCTCCTCCTCCTCCTCCTCCTCCTCCACCTCGTCCTCCTCCTCCTCTTCTTCCTCGTCCTCCCTCTCCCCCCCTCGTCCTTTCATCGTCGTCCTCCCATTGTCGTCCTCCTCCTCATCGGCCTCCATCATCGTCCTCCCATTGTCGCCCATCATCATCATCATCCTCCCCCTCCTCCACAATTACACAATATGAAAATACTCCCACTACCCCAGATGGCGTCCCGAAGATATCCGACACCCCCCCGCGTACCGTTTTTTTACACACAGGATTCCCGGGAAACAGGTTTTCGCTTGCGTTTTTTTCAAAATGCTGCTCTCGCTGAGGCGCCGGCCTCATTTCTGCTCCCGAATCGTTCCGGATCGTGCTCCCGCTGCAGCGTGGGCCTCATTTTCGGATCGGTGTTTGGCCTCCGTCGTTCAGGATGGCGTTCTCGCCCCAGCGCGGGCCTCTTTCTCGCGCGCCCATCCGCCCGCCACCACCGCGCCGCCGCACCACCACCACCACCACCACCACCACCACCACCACCACCACCACCACCACCACCACCCCACCACCACCACCACCACCACCACCACCACCACCACCACCACCACCACCACCACCACCACCACCACCACCACGAACCACGCACACACGCACGCACGCACGCACGCGCACCACCACCCACTACGCACGCGCGCGCGGAGCCACAGGTCCGCTACGACACGCGTCCGCGGATAGAGAAAATCAGCGCCATGGTAAGGGATGGGAGGGAGGGGTAGGACGTCAGATATGACGCGAGCGCACCTAGCTTGCCCCCCCTCCCCCTCCTCGTCATCCTCTCCTCCCCCTCCTCCCCCTCCTCCCCCTCCTCCCCCACCTCCTCCTCCTCCTTCCTCCTCCTCCTCATCCTCCTCCTCCTACCTCCTCCTCCTCCTCCTCCTCCTCCTCCCCTCCTCCTCCTCCTCCTCCTCCTCCTCCTCCTCCTCCTCCTCCTCCTCTTTCTCCACATTCTCCTTACATCTTCTGTTCTTCCGCGTCCTCCTCGTCCCCTGTTTACACCTCTTGCCTCCCCCTCCTTCCCCAAGATAACGGCAACGCAATCCTTTTCCCACGTTATGCTCCCCGACTTCTCTGATGAAGGCAATTCGCCAGGGCAAAGTTGCTTGACGGGCTGGTGTGGATGCGCGGGGCTTGAAGAGGCCCTTGCGGGCTCAGACGGCATGCAAAAATCCGCCGCCGCGCTTGTGCGGCACTGGTTCGTGTTAGTGAACGTGGTTTGGGTCGCGGGTGGGTCGCGGGCTCTCCACCTCCACCTGGAAGGGATGCAAAATCAGCCCGCCGCAGGCGCCAACAAAAATTGGTTTGTACACTGAACGTGGTTTGGGTCGCGGGTGGGCCGCGGGTTCTCCACCGGGAACGAATGCAAAAGATGCCCGCCGCAGGCGCCAAAAAAATTTGGTTTGTACCCTGAACGTGGTCGCGGGTGGGCCGCGGGCGCTCCACCTGAAACGAATGCAGAAGATGCCCGCCGCAGGCGCCGAAAAATGCGATTTGTACCCTGAACGTGGTTTGGGTCGCGGGTTGGTCGCGAGTTGGTCACGGGGTGGGTCGCGGGCTCTCCACCTGGAAGGAATGCAAAAAAACCCGCCGCAGGCGCCGAAAAAGGTGGTTTGTACCTTGAACGTGGTTTGGGTCGAAGGTGGGTCGCGGGTGGGTCGCGGGGTGGGTCGCGGGTGGGTCGCGGGTGGGTCGCGGATGGGTCGCGGGGTGGGCCGCGGGCGGGTCGCGGGCGGGTCGCGGGTGGGTCGCGGGTGGGTCGCGGGGTGGGTCGCGGGGTGGTCGCGGGGTGGGTCGCGGGTGGTGCGGGGTGGGTCGCGGGGTGGGTCGCGGGGTGGGTCGCGGGTGGGTCGCGGGGCGGGTTGCGGGTGGGATGGGACAACAAACAACAACAAACAACAACAACAACAACAACAACAACAACAACAACAACAACAACAACAACAACAACAACAACAACAACAACAACAACAATCAGCACGTGGGGACACTCCGTTCTCACCAGTGCCAGGGTTTTCATAGGAGGCGGGCAATACCCCCACTTTGTGGGGGGGCCGGTTCAAGCTCTACCAAATTTCCAAACGACTCTTCGCCACCACCCACACCCAGCTTCCCGCCCTATGACGTTCGGACACTTCACTTCGTGGCATGCGGACGACCGTGGCTACTATTCAGGGCCCCGCGGCCGACGACGACGGCGTGCGCGCGCGAAGAAAAAACGAATGTGTCCCGCATGGTATTATTTGACAGGGATGATGGCCCTGGCAGGTGCGCAACCGTTGTTGCAGAAGTTCGAAAAAGTTGTTCGCAAAAGCCCATTTGACAGAAATGATTAAAAAGTGTTGGGTTTCCTACGAATCCGCAAGAGCGCGCGGGATGAAATTTTGACATTTTTTTTTTTTTTGAAAAACCATGGGTTTTTTTGATGTTTTTATGTTAAAATCGCTACGAAAACTAAGGTTTTGGAAGGATTTCGTCTTGCGCGCGCGAATGTCCACTTTACCTTATTTTGTGCAAGGGATTCTTGAAGTTTGGTTATGTTAGAACAAGAGCTGTCCACTTTAGCTTATTTTTTGCAAGGGAAAACCGATCGTAACAACACAACCGGATCCGGACCAACCCGTTTTGCTTGAGACTTCCTCACGAAAATAATGAAAATGAGGCTGCGGCCTAGGCGCGGCGGGGGGGTCGCGCACCAGGGGGCCCAACAATCAATAATCCGCACCGCTGAATTCCACTTCAGCCACACCCAGGGACAGTGAATGACCGTTCGGCCCCCTCACTGTAATATATGTGGGTAAATCTATGTGCATGTGTTGTCTGGTACACACGCATACATCACTATGCAACCTAAATGTGTACAAAATATACATATGTACTCAGGGGATGCTGGGGACCTCTCGGGGGCCGCCTTCCTTGTCGGCCCGCGCGCGCGCCTCCGAGATGCGGCGGCGCTGCTGCGGCACTTCCTTTTATCTGGCCCCGAGCCCGTGGGCAGAGCCGGCGGAGGCGGTCCGAGCCCGAGGGGCCGACTCTGAGCGACTCCGAGGGGTGTGGTTTGCAGAGGGTTCGACCAGGCGATCGAGTGCAGAATTGATGTACCCCGAACTTGCTCCCCGTCGAATCTGCGAGAAGTGCGTGGAATCGTCCGTAGATCACGGAGCACTCCACGCATTATTCGTGAGAGTCTGCGGAGAGGCAATTTGGGGGCACATCAATTCTGCAGTCGATCCCCTACTCGAAGGGTGTGGCTTGCAACCCGCGCTGAGGCTGAGGGGGGGGGGCGAGGACCTCGCCAACGATCTTCGCCGCGACCCGACGAGGGCTCGTCAAGCCTTTGGCGCGACCCGGGGGCCCCAGAAGCCCCAGCGGCGCCGATCGCGGACCACACCGCGGCGTAACCACACCCAGTGTGGTCACGCCGAGAATCGATGGAGAACGCGGCTTCGGCGGCCCTTCCGGGCGCGGCGCCCTCGGAGGCCTCGGGGGCTTTCGACGTCTCGGCCGCTCTCTCGGCAGCTCCCGCGGCGGCTCCGAAAGGTCTCCTGGGGGAGTCCTCGGTCCCCCGACGTCGTGCTCTGCGCCGCGCGGAGCGTGAGGCGCGCCGATCCTCGCGCTCACGCGGCGCCCCCTGGACAAGAAGGCGCCTCTCTGTCCCAGACCGCGACACGCGGCGATCCAGGCGTCTCCGCGGGTAACCTGGCGCACCGCCACAATCGTCACCATCGCCCCCGGATTCGCATCATGATGGGCCTGTTTTCTACCACCATCACCACAAGTTGGAGGGGGGAAGGAGGAGGACAAGGACGAGGAGGAGGACGAAGAGGAGGAGGAGGAGGAGGAGGAGGGAAAGGAGGAGGAGGAGTTTTTTGAAAAACCATGGGTTTTTTTGATGTTTTTATGTTAAAATCGCTACGAAAACTAAGGTTTTGGAAGGATTTCGTCTTGCGCGCGCGAATGTCCACTTTACCTTATTTTGTGCAAGGGATTCTTGAAGTTTGGTTATGTTAGAACAAGAGCTGTCCACTTTAGCTTATTTTTTGCAAGGGAAAACCGATCGTAACAACACAACCGGATCCGGACCAACCCGTTTTGCTTGAGACTTCCTCACGAAAATAATGAAAATGAGGCTGCGGCCTAGGCGCGGCGGGGGGGTCGCGCACCAGGGGGCCCAACAATCAATAATCCGCACCGCTGAATTCCACTTCAGCCACACCCAGGGACAGTGAATGACCGTTCGGCCCCCTCACTGTAATATATGTGGGTAAATCTATGTGCATGTGTTGTCTGGTACACACGCATACATCACTATGCAACCTAAATGTGTACAAAATATACATATGTACTCAGGGGATGCTGGGGACCTCTCGGGGGCCGCCTTCCTTGTCGGCCCGCGCGCGCGCCTCCGAGATGCGGCGGCGCTGCTGCGGCACTTCCTTTTATCTGGCCCCGAGCCCGTGGGCAGAGCCGGCGGAGGCGGTCCGAGCCCGAGGGGCCGACTCTGAGCGACTCCGAGGGGTGTGGTTTGCAGAGGGTTCGACCAGGCGATCGAGTGCAGAATTGATGTACCCCGAACTTGCTCCCCGTCGAATCTGCGAGAAGTGCGTGGAATCGTCCGTAGATCACGGAGCACTCCACGCATTATTCGTGAGAGTCTGCGGAGAGGCAATTTGGGGGCACATCAATTCTGCAGTCGATCCCCTACTCGAAGGGTGTGGCTTGCAACCCGCGCTGAGGCTGAGGGGGGGGGGGCGAGGACCTCGCCAACGATCTTCGCCGCGACCCGACGAGGGCTCGTCAAGCCTTTGGCGCGACCCGGGGGCCCCAGAAGCCCCAGCGGCGCCGATCGCGGACCACACCGCGGCGTAACCACACCCAGTGTGGTCACGCCGAGAATCGATGGAGAACGCGGCTTCGGCGGCCCTTCCGGGCGCGGCGCCCTCGGAGGCCTCGGGGGCTTTCGACGTCTCGGCCGCTCTCTCGGCAGCTCCCGCGGCGGCTCCGAAAGGTCTCCTGGGGGAGTCCTCGGTCCCCCGACGTCGTGCTCTGCGCCGCGCGGAGCGTGAGGCGCGCCGATCCTCGCGCTCACGCGGCGCCCCCTGGACAAGAAGGCGCCTCTCTGTCCCAGACCGCGACACGCGGCGATCCAGGCGTCTCCGCGGGTAACCTGGCGCACCGCCACAATCGTCACCATCGCCCCCGGATTCGCATCATGATGGGCCTGTTTTCTACCACCATCACCACAAGTTGGAGGGGGGAAGGAGGAGGACAAGGACGAGGAGGAGGACGAAGAGGAGGAGGAGGAGGAGGAGGAGGGAAAGGAGGAGGAGGAGGCGGAGGAGGAGGAGGAGGAGGAGGAGGTGGAGGAGGAGGAGGAGGCAGGAGGAGGCGGAGGAGGAGGAGGACGAGGACGAGGAGGAGGAGGAGGAGGAGGAGGAGGAGGAGGGAGAGGGAGGAGGAAAGCTGCCCGTGCGGCGCCTGGCCGCGGGAGATGCTCTCGCACACCCCGCCGCGTTCGCCCACTGCTCGGGGACCCGACGTGCCGTCCGCCCCCGCGAGGTCCCCAGCCTCCTGGTGCACTCCTGCGACAGCCCCGAGGTGTACAGGGACGTCGGAGGCGCCCCCTGGAGGATCGAGGATCCCCGGCCCCCTCCCGCGACGGCCCCGAGGCGTCTTTTTGTTGGCGAGCGGCGGGCCCTCCCTGGGGCCTCTGGAGGCCTCCAGAGGCGCCCCGGGGGCCTCCAGAGGCATCTTCTGTTGAGGGAGATGTTCGAGGGGAGGGGGAGGGTTCTGGCGAGGCCCCAACGAAATTAAAGCTGGGCTTCACGCAAGTCCGAACTCGCTGGCATGCGCTTTCGGCTCAGCAGTGCTGCGACAGGCTCTGCAAGGGGATGCACACACTGCGCCATTGTCAGTCCCCCTCGCCTCGCAACTCGTCCTCCTGTCCCTGCTTCCCCCCTTCGTGGCCGGTGCCTTTTCACTTCTGGCATCAGGTTGACTCCTCATGTGCAGCTTCGGCCTGCACCCCATTCGATTGGTGCTGTGGATCTGCATCGCGATCTCTTCTCACTCGGCTCGTGATGCAAAAGGCACGCGTGCGAGTGATCATGTGGATGTGATAGGTTTCGTAAAAAGAAGTAGGCTGCGGGCAAGATCTTCACTCACACAACGCAGGTATCAAACAACATACCACGAAACGGGTGGGTGGAGGACATGCGTTGCTCGACTTGCTTGCCAAGGATGGGTCGACCCTTGCGGCACGCGTCTGAGTCTGTTGCCCCCGCCCCACGCCTGGCTACGGAAGTGTCAGTGTCTCCTAGTGTTCACTCTGTTCGGTTCGCGCCAGGCATGGTGCTGCAGATTAGTGGGTTTGCGATGTAGTTGCTTAGCACAGACGGGACGTGGAGCTTCTACAGTGTAGCGTGTTTGCTCGTGGGCATCTGGTTTTTCGACGCACGACAGCTGATACAATGCGGTATGTTCGTCGTGACCACCGTCTCAGAATGCTACGCAGGCAGCCAAGACTGGGCGAGACGTTTGCTGTTGCAGATGGGCAGCACGACGCGCGTGGTGCAGAGCCATCACAGAGCGGAGCACATACCAGACCTGAAAGAAAGAGTTCTTGGCGTAGCCCCCCCGACCTCCCGACCCCGTCCCAGGGAACGGTGCCCCCGGGAAGTTGTGGAGGGCACCCCTCCCCCGGCCCGAGGCGGCTTCCCAGAGGCCCACGCCGCAGCTTGCTGCCCCGGCCTCGTCGTGCCCGCCGGCGAGGAAGAGGAGGAGAGGAAGAGGAGGAGGAGGAGGAGGAGGAGGAGGAGGAGGAGGAGGAGGACGAGGAGGAGGGGGAGGAGGGAGGAGAGGAGGAGGAGAGGAGGAGGAGAGGAGGAGGCGGAGGAGGAGGAGGATGGAGGAGGAGGAGGAGGAGGAGGGGCGGTGGAGGAGGGAGGTGGAGGAGGAGGGCGGAGGAGGAGGAGGAGGAGGAGGAGGAAGAGGAGGAGAGAGGAGGGGAGGAGGAGGAGGAGGAGGAGGAGGAGGAGGAGGAGGGGAGGAGGAGGGGAGGAGGGGGAGGAGGAGGAGGGGGAGGGGGAGGGGAGGAGGGGGAGAGGGGGAGGAGGAGGAGGAGGAGGAGGAGGAGGAGGAGGAGGAGGAGGAGGGCGGAGGAGGGAGGAGGATGGCAGGGCTGGGGAGGAGGAGGAGGAGGAGGAGGAGGAGGAGGAGGAGGAGGAGGAAGAGGAGGAGGAGGAGGAGGAGGAGGAGGAGGAGGAGGAGGAGGAGGAGGGTGGCAGGGCGGGGGAGGGGGGCGGGGCGCAGACGGCGGGCACGGCGGGCGGCCTCCGAGGGGCGCCGGCCGCGGGGCAGATCGGCGGCGCGCGCGGGGGGGGGGGGGGGGGGGCGGCGAGGGGGCAGCGGGCCTTCTCGGAGGGCCACCTTCCGAGAAGTGTGTGTCCGAGGTCTATATCGGTATCGTTTGACCGATCGGTATCGTTTAACCCATCCCGGTCTGAGGTCTGAGGTCTATATCGGTCTGAGAAGTTCGTGTTTGAGGTCTATATCGGTATCGTTTAACCCATCCCCATGCCCAGCCCCATCCTCTTCGAGGCCCCCACCACAAGAACCACCCCAGTTGGGGATACGCCCCTCGAAACCCGAAGGGAACGACCTATATCCCCGTCTAGGGGGGTAAATCGGCCAGCGGGGCCCGGGCCACGCCGCTGGGGATGGGGATCGGCTAAACGATACTCAGTATAAGCCTGTCCCGAAGACACGGGGAGCTTCTCCGAAGGACGTACGGCTTCCGAGAAGGCCTGTTCCTTCTCGCTCCCCCCCGGGCGCGCCGCCGAGTCGAGGCGCTGAAATGAGGACCACCCCTCGGGCTCAGGAGGAGGGCCTGTGGTCTTCGGGCCGCTCCTCAGATCCAGGTCGGGGTACCTCTTCGCGGCCGAGGCTGTTCGCGGCCAGAGAAGCCCCCTTCGTTCCTTGGCCCAGCGCTCCCTGCGCAGCGCGATGGCTGTAGGACGGCGCGAGTATGCGCGCAGCCGGTAGGCACACATGCGTGCCTTCCCCAAGGGTGCCTCGCGGCTGTTCGTTTTGGCATGGAGCTTCAGGAACACAGGCAGAGCAAAACGAAAACAAAACGAAAAACAACGTTTAGGTCCAGCCCTGGTGGTGACTACGACGCGGTGGGATCTTCATCCAATGTTCTGGCCAATCGGCCATCACACACGCGCGTCACTCTCCCAGCGAGTCGACCAGGATGAACACGGCATCAGCAAGGGCTAATCGGTGGCCCGTCGGGGGTGGTCGCCCATCCCTTGGCGCGAAGGTACGCAGCCAGGTTGCGTCACGCTCATGCGAGACCTCGGGAAGGTGTACGGCGAGGCGGCTGATGCAGCGGGGGGGGAGCCTGAGAGGAGGCAGCAGAGCATGAACGGGGTGGCGGGAAGGAGAGGGAACGAGGGATGGTGGAGCAGTGTGGCCAGATGAGGGAGGGGGAGCCAGGGTTTTTTAGGGGTGACGGCGTGGAGAAGGACGCAAACAGTGAGGAGACGGGGCAGGAGAGGGGAGCGAAGACCCGGGCGCGTATCGAGGGAGTCCGTGTTCTGACAGTGTCTCTTGAGATCCCGATGTCCGCCTCACTACAACCGGGGAAACGTAAGACTCGAGCAAGCCGGAACTCGGGCTTGCCATTTTTGTTTGACAAGCGCGTCCTGGATTTTGACGGTCCCGTTTTCGTGGGATGTCTGCAGCGGGAGCCCGCGTCACATTTCGGATTCGGTCTCGTCATTTTTATAATGGCCCCCGTCAGGTCAACCCGAGTCCCCCGTACCCGAGTCTTACGTCCCCCCGATACAATGAGTTCGTCCCGTCGATGGTCGTTTTCGCTGGGCTGCGATCGGCATTCCTCGGGTGGGAGTCAGGCGGGTCCAGTGGGCCAGTCCTCCCCCGATTGCGGTTGCTTGGGCCTTGGTCGCCAGGCAAGGTCGCGCGCAGCAGCGAATGGACTGGTGCGGCGTGTTCGAACGCCTTCTCCCTTTCTCCCGTCCCGCGCCAGTGACCTCAGGTTCCCAGGCTCCCGACACACCGCGGCTGGGCTCTTGAACACCCCCACAGGCGAGCAAGCGTCCAAGCCGAAACCTACCATCGGAAGGGAGGCAGTACGGCGATGATTGGGCAAGCAGTTCGACGCGTCATTAAAAAGATTTCGTGGGACAGTTCCAGGGCTTAGCTGCCTCGATACGCCCGATTTGATACGCAGCACGCGCCGTGCTCAAACCGTCCGTGTCAATACGTTGCGTGTTGGCTCAGCGTATTGGCCCACGTTTTGGCGAACGCATCGCGTCAGACCTGCGTTTTCAGTGTAAGTGTTGAGCTCCGTATGAAGGCGCTTCGTGTTGCGTGCTGCGTATCAGGCCACCTAAGTTCCAGGGGCTCAGTGGCAGCCCTGCTCTGCCCAGCCACGGCGCCGTGCCACCCCCTCGCGTGGAGGCCCTCGAGCGGCAGGCCCAGCGGCGGGGAGATGCCACGGAAGCTAGGCGTGTGGCAAACCGCACAGGGTGCGGCAGTGCGTCGGTGGCTTCAGTTGGTGAGCCCAAGAGGGTTCGAGGCTCGAAGTTTTCGAACGTTTTCTCGTGCTCTCGGCGGTGTTCCAGCCTCGGGGTGCCCTCCAGCGGCCGCACCTCGCGGGGGGCGCTCCGCGGCTGCCAGCATCGCCCCGAACGGCCACTGGAGGGCCGAGTTACAGTAGAGACCCATGCCAAGAAACACCCAGTTTGCAACCAGGGTGCGCCAAGTTCCTTGGGTTTCGATGGTTTTGCGATGGAAAGCGTGACGTTCCCACACCAAGACTGAATGACGTCCTGGGGTCTCAGGGTTGGGTTTCTTATGGAAGGGTTCTTGTGGACTGGCCTCCACTGTATGATCCGAAGGTCAGTGCGGGCGGTCCTCCTCAGGGGCAACGTTCGTGGGGCAGACGGTCAGGAACTTCGGCTCAGCGTGTCGCTCCGCCGGTTCCGCCCCACCACGCTTCGGCGCGGCACGATATCCACATCCCCGTTCCCAAGCGTGAGCCTCCTCAGCCTGTCCCAGTCTCCCGCCCCGCAAAGCGGAGCAACACGCCATCCGCTTGCAAGGCATTTCGTGTCGCTGGGGCCGCCGCCGCGACACGCTATCCAAAGGTTCCTGACCGTAGGACTTTGGCGCCGCTCTCGACGATGATTATTCGACGCGCGGGCCCCCGTATGTGCATCTCTTTGTCTTGCGCTTTTCTTCGCGGCCTGGATGCGATGCGGCATCGCATCCGGGCCTCAAGGGAAAACGCAGCGATGCTTGGTGATGCGAAAATGACACTCTCCCATGCCGACAATCTGAGCGTAAAAGGGCCCATGCAATCCACACTCGCGGTTCCCCCTGGCTAGGATGGCCCAAGTGCCACGCGTGTTGCATCGCGAAGACAGTGGGGCTCTGAAAACAAGCACGCGTCCCCCCACCAAAACGGCCCATGTACTTGAGACGTCCTCACAAGAGACCCGTGGTATACCACCAGGCCACTGCCCCTGGGGGTGCCAAAGCTCCACGCTTGCAACATCGTCTTGATCTTGGGGCTCTGAAAGAGACGCCTACCCAGCCAAAGCGTCCAGTCGACGTGAAACGTCCCCATTTTCTGGGCGCGAACGGGCCCGTGATATAGCATCAGGCATCTCCCCCTTGGGGTGCCAAGTGGCCAAGTGGCATGCGCGTTGCATCGAGGTGAGATTAGGGGTCTTACAAGAGACACGCCTCCCCTGCCAAAAATGCTAGTATGCTTGAGATGTCCGCACAATCTGGGCAGAACGGGCATGTTGTATACCGCCTGGTGGCTCCTCCCTGTGATGCAAACAAACCGTACGCGCTACATCGCGATGATATTGGAGTTGTAAAAAGAGGCACGTCTACCCTGCCCAAACGGCCAATATCATACCCCATGCCACTTGTACATCATTTGCACAGGAGGGCGTAGTTCCAAAATGACTGTATCGCTTGGAATTCCGGTAGCTTCCACTACCAGAGGATCAAGCATGTGCAACAGCTACACGGGTTGAGGGTGGTTATTTCTCAAAGTTGGGCCATCATTGGACAGTTCTTTGAATGCTACGAACCATCACTGTCTCATGTTTAATTGATTGGAGGCTGGAGGGCCGTGTCTTTGAAAACGGAGCTCCCGCTTGATTGCGGGCCCAAGTGGCGCTCGTCCATTAAGGGGGGCTGTTCACACTGAAAGCGAGCGTTTGCAGAGACGGATTCGGAGGGGACTTGGGACGGGAGGATCTGTTGCAGCATCGTGTTGTCATCTTGGGCTTATTGTGGTCCCTGCCTCCGCCCAGTATTCTCCCGCCTCTTCACCCTCCCTCCTCATACTTCCCATCGCTCCCCTCCCCCCCCTCCTTTCTCCCGCTGCTCCCCCGCTCGCCTCCTTCAGTGTGGTGATCAAAACTACTACACGTGGTGCCGCAACCTGTACCTCAATTCCAGCACCACCGTGAAGAACAAGATGAAGGAATTTAAGGCGCCATGCTGTCTGCTAGTGGGGAAGCGGCCAGCGTTGGGCGCGCAGGGTTTGGCTCCTCTCCCGTTTTCTGCGCCCCTCCCGCTTGTTCCCGAGCAGTTCTTGCACAGGGAGGTTCTCACTTGGTTTCGAAGGAGCTGGACGTGAAGTCCAGATGCTCGGCGCGTTGCAGATCCGTTGCCTCGCGTTTCCGCCCCGTTGCTGGCTGCGCGTTCAGGACGGTAGCGATGTTAGCTTGCACCCCATTGTTTGCACCCCCCGTACGAAAAATTACATTACATGCCCATGTCGAGGCCAGGGGTAACGCATTTCCCATGCGTGCGCATGCCGAACATGTTCCAAAATCATTGGTTCTCTATGCACTGGAAGATAAAGCTTGTTCCACAAAAATGCGGAATAAAAATAATCATAAACAAACAGCGCATGAAATACCCAAAGGGGATTCAATCCAAAATGCAACGTTGTTTGCGCGCATATGCTACAATCTTAACAAAGCCACCGGTGTCTTGAAACCATGCTGCATCAGACCATGCTATCCCCCTGGCGCGCGAACACACCCTCAAATCATCGCGCAGTTGCCCAACTCTTGAATTATGGATTGCCTCCGTCGCCTGTGTCCCGTCTGTCGTCCGCGCGCAAGTCAACATCACTCGAAGACACTGGCCATCGACACATTTCAAGACAGAGCTCTGCAAGTACATAAACAAAACATTGCGTTTCAGGTGAAACCGTTTCAGCATTTCACCCGCGCGCGCATTTCCACATTACCATCACCAGCACCATCTCCATCGCCATTGTCATTACCACCGTCGTCATCATCACCGTGTTCGTCATCGTCGTTGCCGCCCTCATCATCACCGCCACCATCACCCGTGTTATCATCCCGGGAGTCGTGGCCGTTGTCGCCGTCGTCATCATCATTCGCCCGCCCGAAGCAGGAATCTGCATGAGAAGGGTCTCCGCGCGCCGTTCTGCGCCGGTTGATGGGATATGCCAACAGGTCCAGAGCCCGTAGGTGCACTCATGGCCATCTCAGTGTTGCCAACAAGGGGGGATGGATGGGTGGGATGTGTTCTCGAGCATAGGGGGGGTGTCACGCGTGCAGGCTCAAATTTAGTTTTTGTCACAACAGATTAACTAGATTCTACCCTATGTCGAGACCAGACTTAGGCGCCCGCCTCTTCGCACTTCGTTTCACATGTGTTACACACGACCACTCGTTTTCAATATAAAGAAATAACTTCGCCAGGAGGCCAGTATCGGCCCTCCCCCGTCACCTCTGTCAAGTAAGGCTACGCGATATGATCCGTTAATCTTACTGGTGCCTTTTAAAAGGGTCCGTATCAAATGATATCATGTGGTCCACATGCGCACGCACATGTCGTCAGGCCCTGCACAGCCATGGGCGTTCACAGAAGTTGTAAGTCAACCCCAGATATCGCTCGTTTTTTCTAGCAGAGATGCCCCATACCTGTGGGCGCACACTCGCTGACATCACAAGAAAGCAATGCTTGACGCTTCGCGTATCCCCACCAGCTCATCCAGAAACGATGCCCATGAGAGCTGACGGGGGGAGAGAGGAAGAGGCAAGCATAGTCAAACAGCGAGGAAGGCTTGTGAGGCTTCGTGGCCATCTCGAGCCGTCTTGGAGCGGTCTCGGGGCCGCTTGGAGCATCTTGGTAGCCATCTTGAGCCAGCTTGGGCTATCTGAGCCATCTTGGAGGTCATCTTGGGCTCTCTGAGGCCGCTCGGGGCCTCTTGGAGGCCTCTCGGGTGCCTCTTGAAGGCCTCTTGGGGCTTCTTGGGGCGCTCTTTGGGCCTTCTTGGGAGCCTCTTGGGAGCCCTGGAGGGCCTCTTGGGGCCATCTTGGAGGCGGCTGGTCAAAAGAGAGGGGGTACTCGATGTTCTCCCCCCCTCGGGGGCCACGATCCTCGTGAGGGGTGTCAAGAATTGGCCCTCACAGGGGCTGAAGAAGGACCCTCTGACACCTCGCGGCCCCTCCAACAAAAACCTCAGGGAGGGGAGGGGGGGGGTCCCCTCCCCGAAGGGAAGAGGGGTTGCGGAAGAGCAAAGAGATACTCCTCAGACCACATGTCGCCCAAAGAGCTGCTGGGATCTGTTCTGCCGTTCTGGCAGTGAACTCAGACCAAGCGGGCCGCACGCGAGAGATTGTTCTGCCGCCCAAGAGCTGTCAGTCAACTCAGACCATGCGGGCCACACGCGCGAACAGGTCGAAAACATCCAAGCATCGCGCACCCGCCCACTCTGTCGAACAACCCCATCGAGGGCCACGCGCGCGCGCCTCCGCGCGCGGAAGTCGCAGCCACTGAAGAACACCTGGTGCTCGAAGGGTTTCGGCACAGAGGTTCTCCAAAACACACATGGCACGATGTTCGCATCCGAGCTGTTCGCAGTTGCTGTTCACCGTCTGGCCTGCGCCACGGCTTCCAGCAGGCGGGTGCGCGTGACGGCCGGTGCTGGCAACCACGCCGCCTGGTCTCCGCTGTTCTTGCCTGCATCCCTTCCTCACCTCTCGATTACTGTTGTGCTGGATGCTTGAGTCGACCGTTGGTGCCGTTGTCTTTTGAGCGCAGCGCTGGCCCGATCTGGCTGATACGCTTGCATTGGCAATTCGCACCGATAGCCCTGTGGTTTCGATCCTCTCCTCTCCTCTCCTCTCCTCTCCTCTCCTCTCCTCTCCTCTCCTCTCCTCTCCTCTCCTCTCCTCTCCTCTCCTCTCCTGCTTCTTCTTCTTCGTGCCGGCGGAACCTGCCGATTTTAGTAGTTGTGCGATTGGAGTCGCAATTCGAGTTGAAGGATTAGGTGTCAGAGGTGTGTTGAAAGGCGCGCTTGCGGCTGAACAACAATATGCTCAAACACATATTAAACTATGTTGTGTGAATACGAAATATGCCACACATTACTTGTGCGCGTACTTCCTCGTCATCCTCATGAGCACCGTCGTCGTCATCACCATCATATGCATATCCATCATCATCATCAGCATCATCATCAGCATCAGCATCAGCATCAGCATCAGCATCATCAGCAGCATCATCGTCGTCATCGTCATCATCATCATCAGCGTCATCATCAACAATCATCATTGTCGCCAGCGTCTCGGTGGTCATTGTCATCATCACTGTAATATGTCTCACAATCGTCTTCGTCGCCATCTTCACCACCATTGTCATTATCGTCATCGTCACCGCCGTTGTCGTCCTTGTCATCTGCGCCACCATCGTCATCGCCGCCGTCGCCGATGTCATCGTCACCATCACCACTCGCCCGCCCGAGTCGTGAACCTGCTGAGGAGGGCCACATGGTCATTCCGCTGATCGATGTTGCCATTGAATTGCGCGTGAGTGAGTGGGGTGGTTGCTTGAGTATTGGAACTGACGACTAGAGCATGTTCAAATGTGTGGCACCCCGCAGGATGCATCGCATAGATCGCAGGTGCACTCAACATAGTTGTCCCCATCGACTCTACGGCGGCGACATTCTCCAGGGTCCACCTGCTGGCACCATTACTCCATTTACTCCATACGTACTCCCCCCCCCTCTTCTTGTCGCCGCCCCCCTCCCTCAACTTCCCTCCTCCCGCGCCTCAACTCCAGCACAACCGTGAAGAAGAAGACGAGGAGGCCTGAGGCGCCACAAGGGAAGGAGGGATTGCGAGAGATCGGCCTGCCAGCCCCCTGCTGCTCTGGTCCCCTCCAGCCTACTGATCAACATTCCCAGGCAACCCGCAAACTCCTCCCAACTCCCCACCCCCTTCCAGCCGAGTGAGGGCCCCCGCCTCGTGGGGCGCGCGACGTGCCCGTGCGTGTGGCCTGGCGCTGTGGCATGGCGACGGCCAGGCGTGAAGCGCTGTGACCACGCTCCTCCGCCGCTGCCCCCCGGCCCCCGTCGCTGGGCTCTCAGAAGCCCGGGGGCCGGGACCGGGGCCCTCGCCCCAGGCCGCGCCGGGACGCACGGCCCCCGGGCACCGGGCGTCGGGCCGCGGGGCACGGGCCCTTGGCCAGGCCCCGGAGACCAAACACCGTGTTTGTTTCTCTTCTCTCCTCGTCCTCGTCCTCCTCTTCCGCCTCATCATCATCATCATCATCATCATCATCATCATCATCATCATCATCATCATCATCATCATCATCATCATCATCATCATCATCATCATCATCATCCTTATCCTCCTTCTCCTCTTCCTACTCGTCCTCCTCCTCCTCCTCCTCCGTGTCCTCCTCCTCCACCTCCTCCTCCTTAGTGCCGCACACATTCGTTTAAAAAAGTTTGCAGCAGTTTCGAGGAGGTGTATGGTTGAAGTCTCGGTAGTGGTGTTCTGGTAAGGTTGCAGCAGCCACGTTCATTCGCGGCGTCGAATTCCCAGGAACCTTGCTGTGGCGCGATAGAGGATTCTCGGACGACTGTCGTCCAATGGGGCTCTTCCCGCAAGGAAGATCGATTCTTGTAGGGACCTATCAAGAGGGAATTTGAAGGGAGGTTTTCTTGCATCATCGCTGATGCGCCTTGGGTTTACACTGGTCCTCCTCCTCCTCCTCCTTCGCTCTTCCTGCTCTTCCTGCTCTTCCTCCTCGTCCTCCCCCTTCTCCTCCTCCGCTGCCCCCTCTCTTTCTCATTATCCTTCTCCTCCGTCATTCGGAAACCGCAGAGATTACGCGCAAGGCAAAAAAAAAGACACGCAAGGCAAACAAAAAAAAAAAAAACACCACAGGCAAAACACATCGTTTTTGCCTGTGGAGCGTCGCCGACGCGGAGGGGAGCAGGGGAGCAGGGGAGCACCCCCCCCGCCTCGCGCGCGCTCTCCGGCAGGGTCCGGGGGCCCGACGCGCAAGGCAAAAAAAAAAACACCACAGGCAAAAAAACAGGTCACGATTCCTTCTTTGGGCCCCAGGAGCGCCACAGGCAAAAACCCAGGTCACGATTCCTTCTTTGGGCTCCAGGGACGCCACCGACGCGGAGGGGAGCAGGGGAGCAGGGGAACACCTCCCCGCCCCGCGCGCGCTCTCCGGCAGGGTCCGAGGGCCCGACGCGCAAGGCAAAAAAAAGGCGCCACAGGCAAAAAAACAGGTCACGATTCCTTCGTTGGGCCCCAGGAGCGCCACAGGCAAAAACCCAGGTCACGATTCCTTCTTTGGGCCCCAGGAGCGCCACCGACGCGGAGGGGAGCAGGGGAGCAGGGGAGCACCTCCCCGCCTCGCGCGCGCAGTCCGGCAGGGTCCGGGGGCCGGCCCGGCGCGCAAGGCAAAAAAAAAGCGCCACAGGCAAAAAAACAGGTCACGATTCCTTCTTTGGGCCCCAGGAGCGCCACAGGCAAAAACCCAGGTCACGATTCCTCCTTTGGGCCCCAGGAGCGCCACCGACGCGGAGGGGAGCAGGGGAGCAGGGGAGCACCCCCCTGCTCCGCGCGCGCTCTCCGGGCTGAGGAGGAGGAGGAGGAGGAGGAGGAGAAGGAGGAAGAGGAGGAGGAGGCTGAGAAGGAGGAGGAGGAGGAGGAGGAGGAGGCTGAGAAGGAGGAGGAGGAGGAGAAGG